GTCCTCTGGCAATTGCACAGGTGCCCCACCTCTGCCTGGTCTAGCTGGTCCGCTACTGGAAACTACAAGTGTGACACCGCCCACACAGAACCTCAGGAGGGCCTGCCACGTGCAGACCCACGGGGGAGCACCGTCAGGCGGACACAGCCACCGGAAAGGGGCGCCCTCAGGCCGGCCACAGGGTTTGTCGTCCTTTGCTGACTTACTTGAGACCTGACAGGGCCAAGTCCTTTTGGAGCAAGGTGGGTCATTAAGACACACATAAGACTGAGCTTCTGCAGGGAACATCAATGTCCCTGAGACCCGGCGCTTGCGTGTCAGGGAGCCCACTTTCAAGACTCAGCACTCACGTGTCAGCCCCGACTCCTGCAGGGTGGGTAAGACCCACGGCACAGGCCTGGGGGCGGCTGCCTGTCTGCACAGGGGTCTGGAAGGCTCTGCAGAAGCTGGGCCGTGTGGTGGCAAGGCTGAGGGCCGTGGTGGGCGATGCACCAGGAGTTAGTGCCTGCCTCCCACATCAACGGGGAGAGCCCTTGTAGGAGGGTTAGAAAAGGTCACGGAAGGTCAGGAACCCGGCGACTGCAGGGCAGCTGGCCCACAGGCAACGTCGCAGGGGTGCTATCTAATCAGCTGTCTGAGTCATGAGCTCTGTGCTGGGCCCAGAGGACACACAGTAGTGGAGGAGCAGAGCTGGACACACGCCTCCTCCTGTGTCACCCAGAGGGCATGGCAGGGAGGGTGTCCGATGCTGACCTGGGACGAGGAGACGGGCACCGACCCCTCGTGCCCACTGGGAGCTGAGGGGGACATTTCAGGATTCATTTTCCAGAAAATTCTCCTGTGAACCATGTCATGAGGATCTGAGCCCGGCACACAGCTCACACATGGGTCTACACACACACACATGTGCAAACATCCGTGCACACACATGTACACACACGTGCAAACATTCCTCTACACACGTGTACACACACACGCGCACAAACATTCGTGTTCACACATGCGCATACACACGTGCAAACATCCGTGTATGCACACGCACGCACGCATGCACAAACATTCCTGTACACACACACGTGTACACACACACGTGCAAACATTCATGTACACACACACACATGTGTGGCCAGGCATACCATAGGGTCGGTGTCCTCATCGGTGGGGAACTGTCTCTCTGCAGACGGCAGCTGGGTCCTGGGCACCTCGGGGACAAGCTCACACACAAACAGCCGTGGCTCAGTCTGGGCCCAGAAGTGACTCACAGGGACACGGTTCACCAGGTTCTCGTCCACAGAGATGCTGGTCCTGAAAGATAAGGAGGTGGTTCCTGAGGGCGGGTGTTGGGGGGGTCTGTCCATCCATTGGTCCGTTCTGCCTCAATGATTCACTGAGCTGCTGCTCGGTCCAGGCACTGGTCCAAGCACAGGGGGTCAGACCGTGAACAAACCGGCACAGGCCTGCCCTTGTGGTGCCTACATCCTAGTGAGGGGAGATGGAAAAAACAAAGAAGCGATGGTAGGTAGTGACAGGCACTGGGAATAGGGTATAGTGACAACATGCTGCAGGGCTGGCCACTACACACGGACGTCAGAGCCACGCTTCTGAGGAGAGAGCTGAAGGGCAACGAAGCCAGGCACGGGGGGATGGGCTACAGGGGGGTCTGGGGTAGTGAGGTTCAGGGCCTGGGGGGTCTCTGTAGTGGGGTCCAGGACATGGAGAGGTCTAGGGCAGGCAGGAGGGGGTGATTCAGGTGGGGCTGAGGGGAAGGTGTTGGGGCCAATAAGAGAAATTCAAGCAGCCACTTTTTGAGGAGAAATTGGGTGGGAAGTGAAGACTGAAGTGTTCAGTTTGGGTCATGGGAAAGGCAGGCAGGACAGCCCGTGGAAGGGCCTAGGCAGGGCTCCGAGGAGGAAGGGAGCAGAGTGTGAGGCGGCTGAGGGCAGCCCGAGGGAGTCAAAGTATCGGAGCGACAAAAACACAAAGATGGAGACAGGCCTGGGCCCTGGCTCCTCTCGAGGCTGCCTCCGGCCCCGAGGCCCCCTCCTGTGTGGCTCTGACTGGCTTTGCTGGGCGTCGGCCCCGCTGAACCCCCTCTCCAGTAACAGGGAGGAGGGGCGCGACCCTGGCGTCCTTCTGAACACGGCCTGCTTGGCTTCTGTGCATTACCTGACGCAGGTCCAGTGTAAACCTTAATCAGACGTGAGGAGCCCTGAACGTCCATGAGCATTTTCTCAGCAGCAACAGCTCCACACATGACGTCAACCACTAGGAAAGAATTCTCGTGCTCCGAGGAGAGCAGCCCCCAAGGAGACCAGCTCCCGACACGGCGGCCCCAACGGGCCTGAGCCGCCTGGCCCTCTCCATGGGGCTAGAGGACATGACACCCCGGGCCAAGGGTGCAGTGTCCGCTCCACTAACTCCAAGCCTCATGAAAACCTGGGGGTGGAGGCAGAGTCCCGGTTCTTGTTTGGACCATGAGGCGCTGTGGAGGTGCCTGAACTTGGGCGCATGGCTGAGTGATGACCTGCCCGGGTTGAGACTCACTCACGGCCCTTCCCTATGTGTTCTCCCCCCAACAAAGCCCTCCCACAACACACTCACTACCTGGTCCCTTGCCCATTAAAGGACAGTATCTCTCGCTGGTTGACCTCCCCGGTCCCGACGTCCATGGTGGTCACTGTGTCTAGTTCCACGTCATAGAAGCAGATCCTGGAGTCAGGGCTGCCATCGGCCTGTGGGACAGACAGCGGGGAGTCTGCCAGCCACCCCATATCCAGTTCTCTGGGCCGCTGCCCCATAGGTCCAGAGCACCCCACCCTGGTGGCCGCAGCTCTTAGGGTACCTCCTTCCAGTAGTTGATAGTCGGCGGCCCTGCCCCACCAAACAGCTACTGTGCAAACAGTTCTCAACTCAGAGAAACAAGAGAATTCTGGAGCCAGTGACTGCAGCATGGTGCTGACGGGCACACAGGGCGTGACCCCCGTGCTGCGTGGTGCTGACGGGCACACAGGGCGTGACCCCCGTGCTGCGTGGTGCTGACGGGCACACAGGGCGTGACCCCCGTGCTGCGTGGTGCTGACCAACACAAAGGGCACGACCCCCGTGCTGCGTGGTGCTGACGGGCACACAGGGCGTGACCCCCGTACTGCATGGTGCTGACCAACACAAAGGGCACGACCCCCGTGCTGCGTGGTGCTGACGGGCACACAGGGCGTGACCCCCGTGCTGCGTGGTGCTGACGGGCACACAGGGCGTGACCCCCGTGCTGCATGGTGC